TTGTATTTGTCACTAATATTTTGATGACAAACATTAGTATTCGGACACCATTTTTATTCGCACGATGACAAACAGCCAACTTTCATGTTTTCGAATATCCTCGTCACTCATTGACACTATCTCAAAATTTTACATGGATATCTTCTCCTTTTCGACTTTCCAAGGACGTAAAGTGATAAAAAAAAATAATATGATTGAACACCAATTCAAACAATGAACATTTATTTTCCTTTTGGCATTCCAATTACGTAAAAAAATAAAAGAAACAACATGATTCAAAAATAACTCAAAAAATATATGTTAATTTATGTTCCATTTCAGAATTGCAATGGCATAAAATTATAATGAATAATAATCTTCAAAAATAAATTATTGTATATTAAGTTTATAATGAAAAGAAATTATTACGTGATATATCCACTTTAAAAATTACATATATCATCTAGTAAGTTTATTAAGCAATTTTGATTTGTGAATCAATAAAATAGTCATTCGTATGTACAAAATATCAAGGGAGAAAATCAAAGAGATGTAAAACAATGAAACCCTACTAGGTGGTATTATAACAATCCATGCATTAAACTATGGTATTATAACTATAACGTTGAGCAGTCAACAGTGGTGTTATGGAATGTACACGACCACTCATCGACGTCACTAACTCAAAAAACTTATATTAGTTTTTTCTCCTTTTCAGCATTTCCAACGACATAAAACGATTAATGTAATAATATGATTCCAGACTAATTCAAAGTTCACATTTATTTGTTGTCCTTTTTGACATTCCAATGAGATAAAATGATAAAAGAAATAATATTATTCAACGTTAATTCAAACTATATATATTCATTTGTTATTTTTTAAATTTAAAACATCGTTTAATTATATATGAATAATACAATTCTTCTCTAATTCAAAAAATCTACATTATATTTTTTTTTTTTTCCTTTTCAACATTCCAACTACATAAAACTATAAATGAAATAATATGGACATGGTACATTCTTAACTATGTACACATAGGGTTCATAATTTTCATTAAACCGTGGCTATAGTAAATCAACGTGTACTACTAAAATAATTGAGTTCTTCTAGTGCATGGGTTTCTTAACCATATCACTGTATACCAGATCAGTGCGCAGGAGCCCTGTTATGACCTTTGAGTCGACAACATCTTGCATGATAGGATTTTTAGATACTGCATCACTTACAACTGTACTGGATAAACTAAATACAAGTGTACTGGATAAACTAAATACACGAATGATATTATGTCACATTTGAAATAAAATAGACAGATTAAAGACTTACTTTGAATTCTTGCTGGAACCAATGGACAATAACAGAGAAGAACGCAAGAGAATAACACTAAGAAAAACGATAAAATTTTTATTATTCAACAACTGAATGAAAATAACCCACAAGCCGAGTTTAATAGCTAGAAAATAATAATTTTCGGAATTTTACCAAAAATAGCAAAATCCTATTATTCATACCAAAATGAAACACGTAATGACTGAAATAAGATCCCAAAAATTTGACTTAATTTGAGATCGCAATCTATGTCAAAAAAGGAAATTGAAATATTACTAAAAATGGCAAAAAATAACTTAAAATGATGATTCGGNATTACCATAAATGGAAAAAAATAACTTAAATCGATGATTCGGAAGTGAAAACAGCTGAATTTGACCTCGAAACCGATCTTTCTAAATTGGGTTCATGGGCGTGATTCTGACAACTATAGCCAAAGTTATGGCCAAAATACCGAAACGTATCCAAAAAGGCCCCAATTAGGAAAGGTCGATCATTATTTGCCAATTTTGCGCTAATTCGTCAACTAATGGTATCACAGCGCCATTAACGTACTATCAGACAGCTCGGCCTCATGTGACTCGGATCCTCCCGCATCACAATGGTCAGACATCCATGTGAATGTAACTCAATTTGAAATGCTACCACTCCTTTTTTTGTACGTATTCCTTCACACTCATCCAAAATTTGCTCATTCCAAAGGAAGCACAGTAATAGATTTTCTAATTACCGTATTCCAATGAATACATCACAATTAATGAAATAATGAGATTTAGTTTTCTTAAAAAGGGAAGATAATTCTTATTTTTGCTAGTACGAACATCATCATATATCTTACGGTCTTCCTTACTTCGAAGGGTGAACTAACGCAATATACGATATCTAGATCCACGTGAAAATTCGGGACAGTTAATTGTTTGACGCGAAGGTCTTGGAAAAGTATCATTAGCAAACAAGTCCTCAACAAAGCAGTACTATTTTCCCATCACTATTAGTGACCGAAATTTGACTCCTTCAACTTTTTGTGCAATATTTGGGTGGCACAAGGTGTGTGTGTGTAAAGTGTTCGGTCGCTATACACTTGTGTGAAATTCCACATCTAATGTAGAGTAATTTTCATGTAAAAAAAATAATAATAAACCTAAAGTCTGTAGAAACATTAAAAATTTTTTAATGAAATTTGGGTTCTGGCTACTATTGACCTATTGCACCCACTAGAACGATTGAGATCTTCTAGTCTCGGGAGTTCATCACCCATGAGATCAAAATGAGTTGTATTCGTGCGCGCACGACTAGTTGATGGTATATATGTACTTTATATTAGATGGAATCATGAATAATTGAATTTTTTAGATACTTTTCATATTAGAAAGCTATATACAATGATCATGCTATCTAACATGAAAAAAACTCATTTTTCCACTAAATTTATTCAACTTCAATATCAATAATAAAGTTGTGTGTATGAGAATATAGTCGGTTTGAAATTCTTTTTCTCCATTTTGGTTTGTATAATCAGTATTCATCCACAATTCACTAACTCAAATGAAGCATATAAATTGATTTTTCATTTACAACAGAGCAAATAAAATTGTCTATATTTTGCAACCTTCCTTACTTCGAAGAGTAAATTGATGCTCCACAAAATATCTGCAATTGTGTACAAATTCATCACAAAGAACAATTTGTTGAAAAGATCTTTAAAAGGTATGTTTAGCAAACAAGTCCTCAAAAAAACTCATTCCCGTCACTAATAGTGACCCAAACTTGACTCTTCCAATTGTGTGATGATTTTTCTAGCATCACTTGCAAACTGAACTTGGACAGGTTCACAGCTAAAATGATGTTCTCGTCTAAGATAGAATTGTTACTTTACAAGAAAATATCTCAAATCAATAAAGAAACATAAGTCCTTGGTTTAGTGGAGGGTTTTTTTTTAATCATAACGTCCTTCCATCGTAGACTACCTACAATAATAAAAAGAACGCTAAGTTTAAGAAAAAGAAATTATTATACGATACTAACTTCTTTAATTAAAATTTTGATCTCATATTATCTTATGAATTTGGCTTGTTGTACATTCCATGGGTCAGATGGAGTTTGACACTCCATGTGAATTGAAATGCAAATGGGCGGGAATGTGTGTGGTATTTAAAAACTGTTCAATCATGCTCCGACACGTGGCACAATGTCAAAGTTGATGTACTTGTAGCATGATTCTTATTTTATATATTTTTTTTATGTTGTTGGAATGTCGAGAAGTAGACTAATTAATGTAAATTATTTGAGTTAATGTTGTCGATGCGTAATGACGTATATTCCAAATAACGAGAGTTGACTTCTCGACGTTGTAGGTATATAAATATAAATAGTGTTTGAATATCAATGTTGTCATTGAATTATTAAAAAAATTAAAGTAGAAACGTTGCGAATAATTCAAAGTACGTTTTATGCGCATCTCTATCATTTATACTGTAAAAGCACATGTTTAGTCAAATATATTTTCGTTTCAACAAAAACTTAGCTTCTAAATAATTCATTGAGGCAGGGTTTGTAAAGTTATTTAGTTGAACCATTTTGCTGACTAAAAATTTTAAATCTTCTACAAAGACAAAGAAAACTATTTTTACATTAAAAGAAGGAGATTGGAGTTAGAAAAAAGTTGATTTCAAATGCTCCCAAATATTTCCAAAGGTTCTCTATAATTTGAAATTAACATGATTGTCTCATTCTTACAGGCGTGCATTAAATGTGCGAAGTGTTATAAACAATTCATCATAATTAATTTGCACGTCATCCTAGGCATCGTGTATTGCATCAATTCACTCAAGAAAGTTAGGAAAATTGCAAGATATATCATGATGCTCGTACTTGAGAATATAGAAAGTTCTCCAATCTACTTTATATAAGAATTATCTTCTATTGGTGACTATCTAAATCTTATTAATTGATCTATTCTCTTCTACTGCTGGAATACTGTAACAATTTTGCATTAATTGTGCTTCCTTTGAATGAGTGAAATTTGGATAAGTGATGTTTATACATATAAAAAAATAAGAGGTAGCATTTCAAATTGACTTCAGTCTCTTGTGCCAATCTCAAAAACTTTTCGGTCGTCTTCAATGGCTGCAATACAAGCAAACAAATGGAGCATCATATTCACCCACAGCACTTCACTGAAAAGAAATTCTCATGTAAACTATAAACTTTTTGAATGTCTAATATTTAAAAGTTAAGGACCAGTATAACAGACTCACAAAGTGAAGATCAAGAAAGGAGCTGGAACTGGCCAACCCACCTTGAGAAAGTTTTGAAGCTCCAGGCCCTGGATCAGCTACTATTGATGGAGACATAGGAAGAAGCACTGGATTCACTCGTGGGAGAACAGGGGGTTGTGAAGGTTGTCTGATGTTACCCAACTGAGAATTATTATTGTCCAGTTTATTCTTGAGAGGAGGATCACATTCTTCACCTTTTGTAGAATGTAGCCATCCACCATTAAAAACAGATAGAAAGCACCTTCTGTGGGGTCACACTCTTGAAATGTTATCTATTACTGCCGCAGGCTCGTATTGTCCAATCTGATTGCGTTTATAAACATAGTGATACAATTTCGAAATGTTAGGGTCACACTCTTGAAATGTTATCTTTTACTGCCGCAGGCTCGTATTGTCCAATCTGATTGAGTTTATAAACATAGTGATACAATTTCGAAATGTTAAAAGCAATTAACAATGTATGTTAAAAGCAATTAACATTGAGTCAAGTAAAAACAGTAGGTCGTTAAGACAAACTTAGAATAGATGATAGCATCTACAAGCACCGCCTCTTGTGATAGAAAGTGAATTTGGCTGCAACGCTCCTTGGCGACACGCTTGTAAAAGTTTTAAGTTGATGGAAAAATTCAGATTGATTGCCAATGCTTCAGAAATAGTTCCAAGGGTTTTCTATAAATTTATATTAACATGTTTATCTCGTTCTCACGGACGTGCATTATAATACAACATCTTAAACAAATCACATGGCTTGTAGCTCTATTGAAATAAAGCTTCTAAAGTTAGATCATAAGCCTATTGCTAACTTCTAGTGTTCTCATAGAATCTTCCCTGGAACAATGTAATTAATCAGATCAGAAATTCAATTAACTCTACTACAAAAGCATAAACTGTAAAGGAACACAGGTTCTACAGAAAAAAGGAATTATGTATTGCATAAGTTGGAAACAATACATCATTAGTGTTTCTAGCTTTGGATAAACAAGTGAAAAAACATGACTGTTAATCATAATTTTATATTTATATATTCTAAGCTCTTGTGGGATATGTTGCTATATTCTCAACATAAACCAAGAATAATTCTAGCCCTTCTTAAAGTTCCACCTTAACAAGTACCCTACTAAGCTCTTGTCAATTTAATGTTGTCGAATGCATAAATGGAAAATGTACCATTCCAACTTACTAGTCAATGAATGTCAAGAGTTCATTAAAATGGCAAGAGAGTCATTCTAAGATTGTATGACATCAACTTTTTCTACCTCAGAAAGATTGAAATAAGAATGTACATGATAATGCAGGACTTGTGACATGAGGGTCAGGGATTCTTTCCAAGGATGAATCGTGAATTATTGAAATTAGAGGCAATATGAATGCCCATGAAACTTCAATAACTATTGGCAATCTTGTTCTGAATAGCGTTTGTAACAATGTGTTTATTCCTTCAACAAACAGCAGACTCTGCACTATCCTTACTTTATCACCCTAATTACAACCATAATACAAACCTCCAAAAAAAAAAAAAATGTAATAATTAATCAACACCATTAGGTTCTTAACATTGAAAGTTACACTACTTGAGTGAATCTATTGATCAAAGATGCAGATTTTAAGAATGTAACAGACTTTAAATAAGAATTCAGAATAACTAAACAAGTCTTTTTTTCTTAATCAACAATCTTTTAGAATCAAATTACATAAGTACAAGAAAATATAATTAGCTCACATCAGTTCCCATCAAAGGAACAAGAAGGGAAGGAATCATCACAGTTGTCCCTAGTGCCAAAACATAGTGTTGAAATCCCAGTGTCATTGCCTCCCTTGTTTTCACAGCCAAAACTCAGCAGAGTATGTAACAATGTATTTATTCCTGAATCATTAGATATCTGTCCTTTTAACTGAGGTACTAACATTGCCAAAACTTGCTTACATTGTTCTGGAGTGATAGTAAGATTAGATAGGGACTCAATAACACCGTGCTGATTTCCTACAGATGATTGACCAACAGCATTGGCAACCACAGTCTTGCCTTTAGCAAAACGATGCCTAGGGGGATATCCAACCAGTTTGTACCACTTTCCTCTAATGTGTCTTTGCATCCTACAGTGACTGCAAATAGGCCTGTCTTTTCTCTGATTTTGAATGAATCTAGTATTCCTTTGATTACCATTAGATCCTTGCATAACATTGTTAGCAAAAGCAGAAGCTTCAAGGCTGTGTTGCCTTTTAGTAATGACTTCATTTTGTCTTTCATCTTGGAGAATTAGTGCAAAAACCTTGTTAAGCGAAGGCAGATGATCCATTTACAAGATATGACTTCTCACTGCAGAATAGTGTTTGTCTAGCCCCATTAAAAAGTGCATAATCGGACCTTCCTGTTTATAATCAAATCCAGTGATATTTGTCCTATAGTCATCAAGCTCTTCCCACAATCTTTTAAATCGATTGAAATAGGAATTGACTGAGCTATTTTCGTGTGAAATTGTGGAGATCTGCTTCTTCAATTCATAAATTCGAGTGCTATTACTTTGGCTATAGCGATCCTTCCACATCTCTCTAGCTGAATCATTGTGCATAACACTTAGATAGAGCTCATTGGGAATGGAATTGATGATCCATGAAGACACTACATGGTTGCATTTCCTCTGGGCGCTATACAACTGATCATTAGATTCTGGTTGAGCGATTGTTCCATCAATGAATCCTTCTTTGTTCTTCACGCTAAGAGCCATCACTACAACGCGACTTCACGTCGCATAATTATTCTCCGTAAGCACCACTGAAACGAACTGCAAACCAGTGTCATCACCATAATAGAGATAATATGGGCTGCTTGGATCTGAAATCATGCGACTGATAATAGAATTAGCTTCTTCTTCAACCAAATCTCCAGCAGCTGATCCTTGTGATGCCATTGCAGCGAATCAATGCTCTGATACCATATGAAAATATGAAGAGGTGGAGAATTGGGAAGAAGAGTTCTTGGCGGGAGAATTGGTTAATTGTCGAAATCGATTCCAACAATATGAACTGTACAATACATATAGGAAAAGGAATAAATGGAAAAGACTCAAATACCCTCCTACAATTTACAAATTCCTCAACAAGGAAGAAGAAGAAGAAGGAAGCCACAGTTCCAAGCACAAAGCAACAAATGTTTTCCCTCTTCCCTCGAATCACACATACACACCAAATGAATGGGAATAGCTATGTATGGGCTAGGCTAGATTCCAACGAAACATGGGTCAAGGCAATACTTGGGCCAATGATCCAAAAGGCCAAGTGGGTTACAATCTAAAAGCCACATACTAACCAATGGACAAAATATCATTGTCAATCCAAAACCACAACTTGGGTCATCCATGAGTGTTGGGCCAAGAGCAATATTAATTTAATTAAGTTACTTCAAGTGGCCCAAATTGTTTTCGGGTTGAGCCATCACTTTGGTGTTGATAAAATTCCTGACATCATTTTAAATTATTGCCTAAATTTACTGGGTATCAAAACCCAACAGAAATGATATCATTTACTGCCATAGGCTCGTATTGTCTAATCTGATTCAAGTTAAAAACATAGTGACTCAATTTTGAATTGTCAATTAACTTTGTATGTACATATGTTTGAGCTATATATATATATTGTATCAAATGCAAATTTTTAAGACTTTCCACACAAAAACTCTACAATTTGAAAAGAAAAGAACAGAAAATAATGCACACACTCTCACACCAATAGTTTAGTCTTGACAGGATCTTGCCATGAATTTTCAGTCAAACTGACAACAGCTCGTTTGATATTTAACGTGGGTACAAGAAAATTAATTATTTATTTGAAAGTGAAGACGGAAGAATGAAGCAACTTTCGTTAAAGGAAAAGATCGGGCAAATTAAGATATGACAGTCCATTCTGTTTTCCTTTATCTCAGCTCTTGGGCCCATCCATTCGCCATGAAGACCATTTGGGCCTAAAAATGAATGTATGGACAATGCCAGCTTCTTTCAAAAATATTAAAAGTTTGTAGCTACTGGTCAAAGTCGGGTCAACAATTGAGAGGTTATCATCAAAATATTTGGCAAATAAGACCTGGAATTGTTGCGGAGAATTCATGGTATATCTTCTGTTTGTCTCTTTTATTTCTAATAATTGATATGAGATTATTCATGTGTATAGTTTTTCCAATAAGTGATATGTAACGCCCCGAACTCTAATAACTCATCATGTTACCAAGAAATGAGTTCTTAACCTTAATCTCTAAAAATAGGAGATTTAAGAAAGTTTTTAAATTAAAATTTACTTACTCAAACTATATAATCATAACACTTTTTTTAAACATATAAACTTTAAAACAAAAACGGAACAAAAAAATTTGGAAGGAGTTTAAAAAAAAAAACACAGCAAGCTGAAACAGTTTTTCTACAGTTGGACGGTGAGTTTGCAAAAATTATTTGACCTAGCAAACCTTAACGAAAATTTAAGAAATTTTACAGAAACGTATAAACTTGTATAAGTACAACATATAAAAAATTCAAGATCTTGATGACAACGTTTGGAGCACGAAATTATTTTTCGAACAAGCTGGTCCATGTTTCCCAAATTTGACCGTCACAGTTTACTAAAATTGCTATAATAAATTCTACGGGACTCCGATCGACCTATTTTCAGTTGCATATGATAGATAACTCACAAGGGATCATTTTCAAATTAAAAACGTACTAAAATTATAAATATATCGACCATAGAAAAATTTTAAAATAGTGGCAGAATTCTGGAATTTACAAAACCACATGTTCAAACATTAAAACTTTCTGTCCCAAAACAAGAATTTTAAACTACAAATCTCTGAGACACCCCAATGATTATTAAACATAAAAGTAACAATCTAAAACATAAGAATTAAATTTCTCACAAAATAACACATGCGATTCATGCCGAGCCACCGCTGAATCTCTGATTACTCTAAAAATGTTAAATAGGAGTGAGTATTTCAAAAAAATACTCAGTAAGCTACACATGCTATATAAACATATAATCATTCAATTATGCATTCTTACATATTGCCTTCATAAACATGTAAATCGATGATCAAACAATCTATTTTAAATTCTGATGAGCCTATGTGACCATCAATATAACATACATACTTATGGTTCTGATTAACTTCTGCGACCATTAGTTAAACATATAAACTTAAAATTTTGATGAGCATATATGACCATCAGTTAAATATGTAATCTTTCTTGCATCAAAATTTAAGATAAACCCTTAAAAGCACTTCATAGACTTCATGAGCAAATATAACGAATAATATGCTTAAATGAAAATTCAAGTTATACGACAACAATTTTACGCAGGGATCCTACCTTTTTTTTTGCAATAATATGATAGTGACTATGTCAACCGATATTTCTTTCGAATCTTCAAAGTGAAAATATTCTCTGCTTGTCTATATTTGTTATATGGTGTGGATGCCGTATGCATATAATATGTATTCAGTGTGTGCTATGTATTTCATGTATCAGGATAACTCGTAATCTATCATCAATAGGAGTTAATGAGTAATTAGGAGTCATTAGCCATGTAACTCTGAAAGATGAAATAAGGAATGAAACAAATGGTTTCCTACTCATTTTTTTTTAAAACCCACACGTGAATTGTTTAAAAGATGGTTGAGTTGGTATAACTTATTCCAACGAAAATCAATTAAAACAAATCCTAAAAGCTTAAATCCTAATCCAAATTCAAAAGTGCAAATTTAAATTTCCTGTAACTCACGTGGCTGCTAAAACTAGTCCATTGATTTACTAAACTTAACTAAAATAGGACTTTCTTTTTGAACTACAATAACTTAAGCCTAATTTATTCGAAATAATTTTTCTCGAGTCCAAAATTTGCCAAGCCTAATATCGATATGAAATTTCTCACTAAATGAATACTTGATTATTTGGCCGAAAACTAAAAATATTGACATAAAAACTTATTCTTAAATTAATCCCGCAATATCTCAAAATTAAAAAAACATTACAAGATTAAATAGATGAAAATTTATTTCCGGTTGTTACAATCCTCCTCACTTAAAATAATTTTGTCTTCGAAAACAATTTACTTGATTAAGGAGATCTGGGTACTTAGCTAAAAAAAAAAATTCTCTCCAATGTAGCCTTGTCTCTGCCATGTCTATCCCACTGGATTTTAACTAATGGCATTTCTCAATTTCTCAGAACATGTACTTTTCTCTCTCAAACCATAACAGGTGCTTCTTCATAAGTCATATCATTTTACAAGTCCAACGACTGAACATTAACCACACGACTTGGATCGTGGATGTACTCTCTCAACATAGAAACGTGAAAATACATCATGCATTGTCGATAGCTCAGGTGGCAGTGCCTAACAATATGCTACGTTTCCAACCTTTTCGAGGATCTCAAATTGGCCGATAAATCTTGGTTTCAACTTCCCTTTCTTTCCAAATCGTAGTATCCATTTTATCGAGCGGCCTTGAGAAATACTCTCTCAAACCTCAAATTCTAGTTCTTTTCTTTTATTACCTGCGTAACTCTTTTGGCGATCTTGAGCTATCTTAATCTTCATTTTTATCTTATCGTTATCTTCCACAGTCTTCTCAATAAGTTATGGACCCAAAATTCTACTATCGCCAACCTCATCCCAACATATTAGTGAACGACATCTTCGGCCATACAATGCCTCGTATGGTGCTTCAACGATAGTAGCTTGAAAATTATTATTGTATACAAACTTGACCAACATCAAATGATTTTCCCATTTATCACCCGAGTCTAGTATACATGCTCT